TAAGACCTTCTGACCATCAGTGATGTTCTTGGCTGAAAGGCAGGATCGCAAGTGTTGGATATATTGGTGCAAACCAGAAATGCTTCTTCTGGAATTAAAGCTGCGACACCTGATCTACTCGAAAGAAAACAGAATTGTACACGCACACACACACACACGGACGGAGCATGCAAATACAACCGGGAACCAGCTACAGCTTCACGGGAAAAAACACGCTGTGGCAATACAGAGGTTGGCCTGTCATTCAGAAGAGTACTTAACAAGGAAGGGGGGAGAGCACACAAATATCAAAAACTGAGAATATTCATTTTCCAATATTCAAAAATAGGAAGAGCTTTTGAAATTACATTGTGTTGGCAAACTAATTTTTGGGTAACAAAGCAAAAGGTGAAGGCAAATTTTCCAAAGTATTGTAAAATTTATTGTATAAGTATTGCAGCTTTTAGAATGACATATAATTGCCACTATTGGTTACTGTTACACAATAAGCGTTTACAACAGATTTTTGTAAATTGGCATCAGAGTACATATTCATACTAAAACAGCAAAATATAGATAAGTACTGCATTGCATGTGCTGTCAATAGTTTACATAAGTTTAAATTTGAACAGAACTCAGGATACAGGACCGCCTATAACAAACTCCAAAGCCAAAGCAATGCAACTGGAAGTGTAAGAAAATATTAATACAATGAGACGTGTCTATAAGGCAGGCAAATTAGGACTTTAATGCTGTCCTTCATGAGCTTCTATAGTACAGCGAAAATTTGAAGCGCGGTTTCTGGAAAACTTTCTTGGGTTTTTTGTAGCTTTGTGTTGTACACAGAAAATCTCTGAGCGATACAGAGACAGGGTAGATTAAAAATTCATTCTGTTCTCACCTAGCACTGTTAATGCTACACATCTGGATTCAGTCTTTTCCTGATCCTTAGTAAAAATGTTGGGTTTTTATTTCTTTATTTTTTAACATAGCAGTTAGTGCAATTTTATCGTTCAATACACATACAAAAGGGTGATTCTCCAGAAAGCAATTGGATTTCCTTATAGCCCCACTTAAGATAGAATGAATTTCGTAACACTTATGGAAACAACACACTAGATTAGTAAAGCTGAATCTTCAGACCGGTGAAACCGGGGGTTGTGAAGGGAACACAAGTTTTCCCAGTGTCAGCCCCAAATGAAACCCATCCTTCCTCACCATCCTGATCGACAAAGCCACGTTCCCATTCCAGGCCATTAAGATTTGGGGGCACTTTGAGGATGCTGTTTGCCGTACTGTAAGCTAAGAAACTCTGTAAGATTAAGAACCCCTTTTAAAGCTAACGTGACTCTTAAAACTTTGAGCAAAAAGGCAGGCTAGGACAAGAGGTTGCTAAGCATTAGCAATGCCTTGTTTCTTCTGTATTTATCTAAAAATAAATCAGTCTTAAGGGGCCTGAATCTCTCTGCTGGCAGCTGCAAGATGCTGGAGACACCTACGGAGCAGGACCACAGTCCAGCTTCTGGTACAGTTCCCTCCTGAGCTGCACGAAGGCCAGAAAGAAACGAGTGGAGACATCAGCAAGGATGTGCAAAGCAAATTCTCTGCCTTGGTGGCAATATGGGATGCGGGAATTGGGAAGAAATGGACCCCGAGGCAAAAAGTAACATTAAATAGTAATAATAATAACAACAACAACAATAATAATAATAATAAAAAAGAACAGACCATTAAACACCCATTCAGAACTTGGAGTTGATCTGGGCCCCAGATCTGGTATCTGCGCTTGCAATACACAGTTCTTGGGATGGCAAAGCAGAGGGATGGACAGAAGAAAGACAAAGGGTGACAACTCAGCTCTACTGAGGGGATCTCAAGTTGCACCCACTGCCTGGGACCTGGAGCTCCCCCCTGGCTGGGGCTGCAGCCGCTGCCCAGGGACCTGCACCGGCAGTGGGAAAGGTGGCAGCCTGGTTTTTCTTTGTGGACTGAAAGACATCATTCGCAATAGAAATTTGGTGTCGATGAGCCACCCCGTTTCACACTTGCCGAATTCCCCAAACTAGAGAAAGAGGTAAAGGCAACTGGACACAACAAACTGATCGCTCAGCTGCAGATGCTTGGGGTGATGCTTGAGAAACAAAAGCTCACAGCGGGAGGGGATTGGGGGGAGAGAAAAATAAAAACAGGGAAATAAAACAGAGAATTGGTTGAAATTTTGAGGACTTCAAAGCATGAGAGCTGGCTTTAATTGCACTGCTTTTGTAGACCCTCTCCCACTACCCCTCCACACCTTTCCAGCTCCTACCCACCCCCTGACCTCTCCATGGGGTCTGGTGGCCTGCTGACACCACCTGACAAGACAATCCCACTACTTAACAACCTCCAGTGCCCACGGCACCTCCTTAGTCACTGCTCAGTTTTAAACGTGTGATGCATAATTCCACCCAAAACCTGCTGAGGTAACCAGTTTGGTTTTGTAGCAAAGTAGTTCAGATCACAGAACAACCCCCACCCACCCCACCCCCCAATAAAACCCCAAACCACCAACCCCAACAACACTATTCACGCATTTTGGCTCAAGAGGGCAGTAGATATTATATTTCTGGTTCTCTTTTGGTTGGTATCTCTTTTACAATATCCACCACGGTTTCCTACCTCCCCGGGTAGGACAATGTGCATAAGTGTCTCCAAGCTCCCCTACGGACCGTGGGAGAGGAGCTGGGCAGAGGGAGCAGCCTGCGTGGCCAGGCACAGGGAGCTGCTCTGGGGAGCAGCCAGCACTGCCGGGAGAGAGGAACCGGAAAATTGAATGCAAGGTCCAAAGGAGCAAGAGACCAGACGCTGGTTACTTGTGACGCTAAGGATGATTCTGTTTTCCCCCTCTCTAAAAAGGGAGGGTTACTGTTTCTTTAATAAGGCACTAAATAGACATGTTACATAAAGGAAAGATACATTTTAAAAACTCGTATAAATTCATCAGTTTTGTACCTTTCATGACAAACTAGATTTATTCCTTTGCATGACTTTTTTTTTTTGTGGCTTTTTTCTTTTTTTTAGGTCATCAAAATTTAGGTTACACGACTGTAAAGCTATGAAGATTTCAAGAGCTGTGGAAAAGCAGTTTGAAATATTGAGAAGGTACAGGACTATTTCTAGGCAAAAAAATAAAAAAAAAGGCAAAAAATAATGATCAAACTTCAAGTTCAGCTATTCATCGTCTTCTTTAAAATATATATAAATATTGTTCAAATGGTCAGAACTTCAAAACCGTTCTCATGGTTTATTTTTTTTTCTTCAAGTAATAGAAAAGTTGCTTAAAAACAATAGTTATTGCCTTTATATCTTTCATTTATGTCACTCTACTAGATAGCATCCTGCAGAAAATGAAATCACACCTCCTTGTAAAATCTTCACTCTCTGTGGTTTCCCTACCGACCCTTCCTCGCGCTGGGAGATGCTCTCCCGCCCGGGGAGATGGGACCAAGAACAGGATTTTTCCCTTTCGCTTTTCTCTCCTGTGCGCTCCCAGGTTTCTCACTCGCTCACGCCATCACGTACAAATTCACCGCGAGGGTAGAACACCTCCCGGACACCTACACGATATAAAAATGTAAACAATAGCATAGTAAAGACAAAATGCTTCCGAAACCGAGATAAATTAAAGACACGCAACACCCGGCGGGCGGGAGGGCAGGTGGGACCGTGCTGCTGCGGATGAGGACATCTTCAGAAGAGGTAAAGGGGGTTTGCTTCTAAAGCCTTAAGCGTATGTCTTTAGCCTTTAATTAATACATCACAGGAGCAGATTCATTTCCACCTACTCTATCTGATGCCTCTTTAGCTAGGATAATAAAGTAAAAAACAGTGACTGACCACAGGCAGCCCGGGGGACAGCACGGCTGCGCCCGTTTATCCCACACAGAGGTTTGGGAGGTTAATACACAACGAAAATGACCTTCACCACCACCACACTTTTTCATCTCCTACTTCCACTAAGGTATTTAAACCCAGCTGAAAGGCAGCTGGTGGGTACGTTCCCATTTCCTCACATTAACTTCCAGAATCACCACCTGAGCTCCCAATAGGGCCCCTTCAGTTGAACATTGAAAGAAATAAACCAAAAACCACTTTGTTCCTTCAGACACAGAAGTTTATTCTCATCGCCACCACCCCCCTCCAAAAAGTTAGAGGTTGTCCAAAAAAAAAAAAACCAAGTAATTTTTGACTGCTTCGGTCATTACTGACTCTCGGAAGCAGGGAGGTTTTATTTTACCTTTTTACTCCAACAATCCTACCGGATGACATACAGGCACACACCAACTCCTCTTGCTCTGCAGGGAATGTATAACGCCGCGCCGGTCGGCGGCCACGCACGGGGACTCTGGAAACTAAAGGATTTGCATAAGATGCAGTCTCGCTCACCGCTCCTCCCAGGGCTGGCATCTCCACCTCCGCGTCTCACACCCCCTTCCAGCTACTTTGTTCTTCACTTTGACATAGATCCCTTAACAGGTTCATGGTAGACATGATAGAGGCTTCGACCAACACAAGCACTGACATATTTATATTAAAAAATAGTGCAAAATTTCAACATTTATATAAATAACTCTAAACCCCTGCTTTTGATATTTTTTTGTTTTTTGATTTTTTTTTTTACAA